GTAACAAAAACATTAAAAATATTTAGGGGTATTTAATTAAATTAACAAATTTAAGGGGTTTAAAAAAAGTTAAATAATATTATGAGTTTTTGGGTATTTGACTGTTTAACTTTTTTGGGAATACTAAAAGTAGTATTCCCAAAATCCAACCAAACAAAGCCTTTAATCTTAAATCTCCAAGTGATAATTGATATATATAATCAATAATGCTAGGTTGACCCATATAAACAAGCTGAACCTATTTTACAAGTTATCAATAACGAACTGCTACGTTGGGGGTTGTGAGAGAAAGTTGTGGACTTATCATTATTCATATATAACAAAAGTAAACGACTTTTTCGGTTTTTTCTACTCAAAAAGTTTCAAAATAACACTTTCTTACCTAAAGTTTATATTTCATTAATACCCAAAGCCAATTTCGACAATAAAAATTCTTTCCATCACTACCATTTTAACCTTCAATTCTTCTCTATAAAACCTTTTTCACTCTAGCACCTGATTTCTCGTCAATTGTCGGTCACTACAAAGGTAGGGTTTTTTTATTCTTAACTGATTTTTGGTTGATTCCAATAGCGAATATTCAATTAATAACCACCATTTGATTCACCGACTTCCACTTTACAAAATCCTCTTATTCTAGCTCTTGATAACTCACTGAACGCTAGCTGAAAAAGTGAAATGTATTTTAAGTGTTAACGAAATATAAATTTTGAGTAAAAAAGTGGTATTTTGAAACTTATTGTGTGGGAAAATTTCGTTTATATAATAAATAACAAGTAATAGGAAAAAGCACCATCAGGAATCCACTTCTTTTTATGCGGTATATTGCTTTAATACCTGGACAAGTCCAGCTATGTGATGAAACTTTAAAGGGGAATTTCAGCAATATGCATCAGACAAGCCATGAATTCCATATGTCTGATTTTAATGGCTCAGGACTTTTTGATATTCGGATCGAATTCAATTAATTCTTGTTGTGAAAATATACGTAGGGATGTGTCGTTCATTACCAAAGGAAATTAAAGAATATTCATGAAATTAATAGTTTTCCATTTTAAGGTAAGCTTGCATGATTGGTGGCAAGTGCCGGGACTTTCATGTTCTTTGTCTTCTCACGACTCAGTCCCAGTCATCGTCACTCGTTTTGTTACAGTAGGTAAGACTTTCCTTCGAAACTAGTAAGTTCCATGTCTCAAATCTCTTTTTAATGGTGCCTACGCTGAGGAGACTATCATATATTATAAATTATGTAAAAAATCTTATTTCTTAAACTCCATTATTAATGCACAAGAATACATTAATTAAAAACGATTAAGTCACACACCTAGAAATTATGACCAAGTAAAATTTGTCTGCTCTTCCTTTCCTCGATTAAAAAACAATAACAATAACAATAAAACAAAATCAAATTCTAACTCTTCCATGCCATTCTGTGAACATAAATTAATAAAAATATGTTGCCAATGTAAAAAGACCCCCCACACAAATCAATTTGGCTGGCGCTGACTCATACCGAGACTGACTCGTCCACTCGCCCACTCACCCACTCACAATTCAACACGGTTCGTCATGTCTTTCCTATATAGATTTATACAAAACCATAACGCTCAAACCCCTTTTATTAACTCCTTACACCTTCCAGACTCTTTACACCAAAACCTGGAATAAAAATTTCATCACCATGAAAGAAGAAAATTATCAAATCGTGCGTGCGGCACCCCGTAGAAGAGATGAAGAGTACGCAGCAGCAGTTAAACAAGGGAAACCCTTCCGCAAAGAGAAGAGCAGTAAGTGTCTCGTGTATTTTCTGGTCCTAATCGTCTCTCTGGGTGCAATTGTTTTAATTTTGGCATCAATTTTCTTGCGTGCCAAGACTCCTGAATTTGAAATAAAATCAGTCATGGTAAACCGTCTAACTCATGGCAACGCATCCTCGCCTTCGTTTAATGCAACGCTAGTCGCTGAGTTGACGATGGAGAACAACAACTTTGGTTCTTTCAAATTCCAGAATGGCTCTGGGAGCCTGTGGTATGGTATAGTTACAGTTGGTGACATGAAGATCGGCGAGGGGCTGGTGAGAGCTCGGGAGACAAAGACGATGAAGATTAATATTCAAGTGGGATCAAACGGGGTGTTGAATAATACAAATTTGACAAGTGATATAAATTCTGGGATGTTGAAGCTAAGTAGCCATGCGGAATTGCATGGCAGAGTGAACTTGTTTAATTTTGTGAAGAAGAAGAAGAGCCCGGAGATGAGTTGTTCCATGACTTTAAATTTAACAAGTCATGCTGCACAGGATTTAGTCTGTAACTAATTTTTTTTTCCCCCCTATTTCTTATACTCAGTTTTGATTTGAGAGTTGAATTTTTTTTAAATATTTTTGTATACATATCGATCTTATTTTATTCATTCTATCGTTGTTCTTGCTATATAATTTATTTTCTGTCTTCTTGTAGTTCTGATAGATAGATATTAATGGGGGCTAAACTTCTCCATTAAGAAATCAGTTAACTTAGGCCTGAAGAGATTGTGATAGACCATAGATTATAGAATATGAATTGGTGGAATTCTTAGAGGCTTTGCACTTGAGAGGCGTTTTCCATCGAAGGGGATAAATAAATGGTACAGGTTAGATGTGATAGCAATATGGCTGGTTCCACCCTGTTAGCTTTATTCTACTGTTATAAAACCCTCATCACAAAGCATCAAAGTTAACTGGAAAAGCTTAAAGCTTTGTAAACTTATCGGCTTTTATAAGTTTATTTTAAATTGTATTATTTTATAGTTCTTAACAAATTTAAGCAAGCCCATTGGCCTAATTAAATTATGGCTACAGTGTTGGACTGCTTGTAAGATCTCTATAGGCCCATACTTGTTTTGGTCCAACAAGATCAATAAGGAAAACCCAACTTCAATTAGTGTTTAGGTGCTCCAACTTATATTTTTATGTAAGCATTTTCTGTAAGTTTATTAATTTGTTCATTAATAATAAGTTGTTTGATCCTAAGTATAATAGGCAAATGATAATTGAACAGTATTGACGTATTCAAAATTGTTCTAAATTATGTAAACTAGCAGTCTCCTATTTGCAATCAGGAAAAAAGTAATGTTAGGTCCACAATCTTCTCTTACAATCCCTAACGTGGTTGTTTGTTATTGGTCAACTTGTAAATTGGGTATTGTCTGTTTGTATGGGTCATGTTTGCCCATTTGTAAGCTAACTAAAGACGAGATCCCACGTTGGGGGTTGTAAGAGAAGGTTGTGGACTTAACATTATTGATCAAGAAAATCACAGATAACACTATAGGGTAAGTTTGGTTCAGAGAATGTTGGATTACTGGAAAGTTAGATTACCTAGAAGATTACAAGAAGTCTTTAGGAAAATGTGTTTCGTTAGTTGGAATAAATTAGTGGGTATGTTTTATTAATATGTTCGATTGGGAGGAATAAATTGGTGGGTATATTATTTAAATTACTAAATTGTCTTCTAATTAAATATTATTATTATATTATTTTTTAATATTGATTATTATTCAGATAATTATAACTCCCAAGCATTTAAAAATTTAGCAAAAATAATCCCATAATAAAAGTTTGGAAAATCAACAAAGCACCCCCACAACCTAGCCATTGCCGGCCGCCGGCAACCTAACGGTGCACAGAAGGCCGAAAATGGCCTCCGTGCACCGTATGGCCATTTCCGGCTAGAGATATGGTCGGAAATGGGTAGATCAACGCACGACGACCATTTTCGACCTTCCGTGCGCCTTTTCGACGAAAGCAGCGACTGTCTGCTATGGTGTTTGCCGGTGGCAGGTGGGTGGGGGTGGTGGCTTGGGTGGGTTGCAATTTGTTTTGAATTCAAGGGTAATTTTGTTTAAAAATTTAATTAATTGGGGTGAAATAATAAAAGCAACATTCATGTAAATAAATTTAAAAATAAGGACATTATTGTCCTAAAATTTTATTAATAAGAGATGAAATTGTAATAAAAAAAAAAAGATTACCCTAAAAATTTTATAATATTTAAGAAAATGGAGGTAATCAAATTACCGCTGATATTATCAACAGTAATTACTATTGGTATTTGAAGATTACTGTAATCTTTTATGATATTATCAACAGTAATTACTATTGGTATTTGAAGATTACTGTAATCTTTTATTAATAATCAAGTAATATAAGATGACATAACCTCGGTAATCTCACATTACCTCCAAACGCCCCCATAAAGTAATGTCACTTGTAAAATTCGATGAAATTATATAATATAAACCAAAACCATTGGAGAAGCCGTAGTTAACGCTATAAAATAAACCCGCATGATACAACAGATGCAAAATTTAATACTTAATTTACAAGAGCCCAAAAATATGACTTTAAAATAAAACCATATGATAAGACTAAATTAATTAAATAATTAGCTTTCTAATCATGCCATATTCCAAGACCTTGTGGTGAAGTTGACTTCACCTTACACTCCAGTATTCATCAGCAGAGTGTAGAATCCATAAACATCTTTCATATACTCAAAGAAGCTTTCTTTAATATTATTCAAATCCGAGCTATCTGATTTTTAAGCAAGATTTTGAAGAAGCTGCGAAACTCGTGCAAAGGACTCCCGACTCTGTTATGCTCTTATATATATGTCAAAGAGTTTGGACATAATTTGAATACCCCCAATACTCTGAACAAACTAGTTAATTCAGAGATCCACCTTCAATGGCCATTCTTAAAGGTAACGACATGACCGTGAGGAGTGACTCAATGAGGCCCTTGTCTCCTCATCAACTCCGCAGTGATGAAAAACAAGAAGCCAGGGGCAAGCCTCAAAGAAAGCTTTGGCTTTGGGGATGTTTTGCCCTTCTTTTAACAATTACAGCCGTGATAATCATACTCATATTAACTGTTTTTCAGATCAAGGATCCAGATATCAAGGTGAATTCCGTTACAATTAAGCAAATTGCGTTTGCTAATATTACTAATGGCGGCCTTCCAAGCGGACTGAACATCACACTTGTAGCTGATGTTTCTGTGAAAAATCCTAACGTGGCTTCCATTAAATTCGGTAACAGCACCAGCACTATTTACTACGGTGGCATAGTAGTGGGCGAAGGGCGGATTCCTGCAGCAGTGTCCAAGTCAAAACGAACCCTTCGAATGAATGTTTCCATGGATGTAATTCCTAAGAAATTAATGGCTGTTCCCACCTTCACGACTGACCTGATTTCTGGAGCATTGAATATGAGCACTTATACTAGGATTCAGGGTAAGGTCAAACTTTTGAAGAGCATCAAAGCAACCGTGGTGATGAAGTTGAATTGTACGGTCATGTATAAAATTTCGAGCCAGACCGCTCAAAGCCACTGCAAGCTTCGCCATTAGCTGCGGCATCCTGACGAGCAAGTTGAAGTTGATTACTTACAATGCCCCTAAACAGTTGTCTCCATGTATAAATGTACATGAAAAATACTGTTCCTTTGTGAATTGTGATTGTGTACTTCGATTTGTAAATTCAAATTTATTATCTAATAAAAAAAAAAAAAAAAATGAGTTCTGTATATTTTGAGACGTATTTGAGTTTAAATGATCTGGTATTTTGGGTGGTATAAGAGCTACACAAAACAATGAGATTCAGAAAAAAAATTCAACCCAGTACATTTATTGAGTCGCAGAGCATGTGTGAAATAATTGTGACAAAGATTTACGAGCAATCTTTTTTATATTTCCACTTTTGACTGCTTTCCGAGTGAGTGAGTTGGCCATTTATGTGCTATTGTGACAATGTCGACTGGGTTGCTTTCACACGAATGGTTGAAATTAAGTGAAAACACTATGAAATGTGATGTGACAGGATTGTATTGCTACTTCGCTTTTATTGCCGAGATTTTTAGGCCAAATTCGGGCTCCAATTTTCATAGTACTTGATAATACAGCTAGCCCAAATTAAGCCTAACTACTTGATTAGTAACCATTTGTATATAATTTTTAGAGTAATCAACCTTTTCCCATTTTATGGGTTAATAATAATTTTTTACTAGAGACTTTTAAAATACTATTTTATTATCTAAATTTTTATTCTATTTTTTATTTCAACATCATTACGATCCTACACCATCACTATTTTTTTTTTCAATCATCATTCACCGAAATCCTTCAAATTCTACTTCGACTAACCCCATCCTCGCTGACAATCACCACCATTCATTTACTCGATTATCACTTATAAAAACTCCTCAAATTCTACTCTCATTGACCCTGTCATTGTCGACAATCAAGCGATTAGGGTTTACATAGTCGTCTCTTCCAAATCAAATTCTGATCAATCACAACCACTAAAATCTAATCTTCCGTCATCAAAAGACTCATTGATCTCCTCTTTTTAAAAGTCCCAATAGCTTAGACCGAATTTACTTTATGTTCGTTGTTGGAATATATATTTAAACTATAAAATGGTATTTTAAAAGTTTATAGGTAAAAAAATGTCATTTAAGCCATTATTAGATGGGGAAAAAAATCATTAACTTTAATTTTTACTGGAAAGATAAAGTCACAAAATTGAAGGTTCTATATTGAAGCTCATGTACATGTATCATGTATGTAATAACAAAATCATCACAGTAGAAGCTTGAGACGAATCAACCCCGAAACAAGAGCCAATCTGTTGTCCTCGGGGATCTGCAATGGATGTTGAGCAATTCTTTATAAGATGCCTACTGGTGCATGCATTTATGCATTTTAAAACTTCCAAATGAAGGCACTTTACCCTTCCCTCCCCTTCCCTTCCTCTCACAAAAATAATTAATTCATCAAACGGTGCATGAATCATTCATTTCTGAAAAAACCTTTTGATGGGGTTAATTGTGCCATCACAATTACCATTATGCATGGCTCGAACATTCTGAATCAAACATCCCTTTATGTCTTCCAAAAGGCAAATAAATTATCTTGTTCATGAATTAGTAAAATCGTCCATGGTAAATGCAGGCTTTCGGGCAAGGCAACTGTCCCCTTGTGCAGTGACATTTACCAAGATTTGCTAAAATGTATGTATTCTGAAGAACATTACTTTAGAACACCTAAAAGGCAAAGATAATGTTTTGTTTATGGTTACTGAGTGCATTGTGATCTTCCATGGCCTCCTTAATTTTCCATGAGATTTTTTCTCATTAGTTTTGAAGTGAGATCAGTAATTTATGTTTTTATATTCATAAATGACTGGCTCAGTTTGACCCTGAAAATTGGGATTCTGTTAAGAGTTTAGACAATATTTCTGCTCGAAATCTTGGTCCTATTTATGTCATGGCTTACAACATCTTGTTCTGTTCATCCCCTCTTACTTCTCAGCTTGAATCATTCATTAGTTTATTTCCTTGATTCTTGAATGTTACCCATTTTGTTAAAGCACTACGATAATATAATCAACATGGAGAACTGGAACGATTTGAAAATGAATGATAATGGTGGCAGTATGAGAACAGATGAGGTTAATTATTTGCAGGAGCTAGCTGGACAGAAAATTAGAAGACACGTTGTGGCTTGAAATGTTTAACAGGTTTAAAATATGCAGTCACATGCGTTGGAAAAAAAAAATGAGAAAAAAAATTATGATTATGGGCTCTGGAATGCCAGAATAATCACACTTGCAATGCTTCGCGAGGAAGAATTTTAGGGTCAATGGTAACTTTTATACAATATTCAGTCAAAACCTAATTAATAATCAATGCCCAACCACTTTTTTGTTTTTTTAATGATTGAGGTATCCGATCTAGTTTATCGTACACCTTAATTAATTCTTTAAAACCTTAAAATTATTGGTCGAATAAAAACTTCAAAAGTCACCCTTATTAGAGATCGAGGTGAATCAAACTTATAACTTTTTTTGTTGTTGATTTACAATCACATTCAGTAATTGGGTGATCTGAAAAGAGCAAAAGAAGGTTTCATAAATTCTTAAATTCGAGTCATTCTAAGAATTAATACCTTTTATTTAATCGACAGTTTTAAGACTTTGAAGGATTAGTTAAAATATACACAAATTGACTTAAACACCTTATGATAAAAAAAAAAAGAACACATTAATATATACTCATTTTTAACTAGTTTGCTTGAAATTTTGGGGTGTGATTGAGGAGAAAGGGGAAACAATGAAGCATGTTCAAAGTAACTTTGGCAAGAAAAAAAACCCATTTAAAAATTGACAGTAAGAAGAATAAGATGAGTGACTAAAACGACAAAAGGCGTAGCCATAACGTAGCAGAATAGCAAGGTAGCAGCGGTTTTGTAGGCCCCAAGCACTGCCAGAAGGAGACAAATTGAATCTCTGAAGGTACTTGTTAATTTGGATGGCATCATCTCATCAAAATCAATAACTTGTCCCGATTTCCGAAGAGATGATATGACCATTGATCATTCATTCATATATACAGCCTACACAGCCTAAACATAAAAATAATAACTCATAGGGAGCCTTTCTTGCGTGTTGATTTCACTGTAAAAATTTGACAATTGAGAGAATCAGAGAGTGGTTCAGGTTCAGGTTCAGGGCATCCCACTCCTCCACTCTGACTCACCCATCTTTTACATTGTTCTCTCACTTACTTTAACAAAAGAGAAAATCTTCTTTTTACTGTTCTGGTCTCCGCTTTCCCAACTTCGCTGACCATTAAAGACACTGATTAATCCTAAACCAGCTCGACTACCCATAAACAAGGATCCAATCAACCCTCTTAAACCCACATTATTTGAACAAACACGGATCAAATCACTGTACTGATATGGGAACGCAGGTGCTTAGATAAATACAAAGATCTGATTCTTGTTTCACTTTCAGAGAAAGAAAGATACATGAGCTTTACAATACTATTAGTACTGGCAGTAGTGACTTGTGAGAGAAATTTTAGCCGAGTTTTCATCTACTCAGTACTTACCAGTCATCATCACTAAACATTCAAAGTTCCAAACTACTATTATAATTACCCTACCTAGAACTTGTCCTTGAACAAAAATAAAATAAAATAGAATTTATAACTAGATTAATTTACAGAGAACAAGATACACTGCACTACTGATAATGATATCAATGGGAGATATTAATATCAGTTTGGAACCAGGTTTCCCGCTTTTTTGGTTTAGCCCTCAAAGCTCTCTTCTTTCCCTTCAATTGCTGATTTCTGATGAGACGGGTCACTTACAGATCTTGGTAACAAAGAAGACTCCGAATCTGTAAACAAAATAGATAATCTAAGTTTAATTTTCAGAAGAAAAATACATTTTTAAAAGAATATGGAACTGGGTTTTTTATTTTTTTTTAGTGATTTACCTCTANATGCAGCAGCCCTGGTTTCAATCATGTCCTCCTCAGAAAAGACCCCATTGGCACAATAATAGAGCCAGTCAGTTTGAAAAATGAAAAAGCCTGCCTGCTGATCAATAAAAACACCATTAATTGACACTGTATGTACAGATTCGAAATCCTTACCCACCCTTCATAGACTATTCTTTTACCAATTTATCAATCATGATATATATGCACATCAGAGCTTGAAGCTTTCTGGTTATGGTGTATAATCTTTAACTTTACCATATATAAACTAAAGTTTTAATTTATTAAAAAGAAGTAAAAGTGGGCAGGTCTATATGCATGCTTTGAAACTTTTCTAAAGTGTAGCCTTCTTTCAAAAAGCAAGTCAAAGACTCTATTCACTAACTTCCCAATTTAAGCCTTCTGCAACAATTTGGGCTTAACCATGCAACAACTGGCCTTACAAAATTGGGAGAACAACATTTTCCCACCCTTTAAGTTTCAAAATTACACTTTCCCACCCTTTGTTAGGTTTTGTTACCTTTTCTGTTAATATTTTACTAAAAATACGAAAATACCCTTACATGTTTAACTTTATAATTTTTTAATTAGCCAAAAAGTCAAATATTAAAAATTCAAAAAAATAGTTAGTTCCACCTAACAAGTTAGGAGTAATGTTATAAAATTGTTTACAAAAGTTAAATGACCCTATTCCCAAAATAACTATTTGTTTCATTATTTAGGAAATACTATTATATTATATTTAATTACTTTTAGATCTTTTAAGTTTATTAATTTAATTAAACACCCCTAAAAAAAAGTTTAAAAATTAACAAAAACACCTACCCATAGTTGCCAGATTCCGACAACCATTGTCGATGGTGACTGGAATCTGTCACAACGGCGTAAAAATGACCGGAACTGGCCAGTAATACGCCGATCTGGTCAGAAAAGGCTATCTCTTTGGTCGTCTTTGACAGCCAGATCTGGCATTTTGCTGCCGTCGACGGCTAGATCTGGCCATAGATATGACCTTTTCCGGCCAGATCCGTGGCACGATCGGCTAGATTCGACCGATCTACGTCATAACGGCAGATTCCGACAATGATGGCTGAAATCCGGCACTGTGGGTGGGTGGGGATGTTTTTGTCATTTTACAAAATTTTTATATATTAGGGTGTTTAGTTAAATTAGCAAACCTATAGGGTTTTTGTTAATTTTTAAATTTTACCTCGTAATAATCACCCTACTCTACTAGCCAATACTATTTCCAAAATCTTATCCAAAATAACAAACCAAATGGACCCATAATATTTATTTATTTATAATATCATCAATATTCCATCTCTATTATTCAATAATCTACTAAATTTATGATGTTTTTCATAATATAATGTTTTTCATTTTTACTAATTAACATAGAAAATTAATATTCTTAATTAATTAAATAAACAAAGGAAAAAAATATATTTTACACTTAAACTAATAAATAACCCGAACAAAGATTTTCACTTAACTAAATTTTAATTTATAATAAACTAATTAAAAAATAAACTATTTAAAAATATTTTTATCTTTTCAATAAAATATTAGCAAAAAAAAAAAAAAAAACAATAACAGAAGCTGAAGAAAGGTGGGAAAGTAGGATTTTGAAACTTGAAGTTTCGCCAAATGTTAGGTGGGAAAATATCGATCTCCCTAAAAAATTACATAACAATTCAGCAAGCCTTTACATGTTCCAATGAACTGGGTCAAGACAGAATTTAATAACAGGATTACTGCATAACCTTGGATTCTCTGTGCAGAAAGACCAAGTTAAGTTATTATAATGAGAAAAGCTTTACCATCTCCTCCATTAACAGATGCTAATTTCAACTGTTTGTCTTGTTTATAGGTAGAGAATTTTTTAAAGTCCAGAAATCTGCCCCACAATTCATACAAATGTTTCCCCCTTTTCTATTTAGTTTAGAACTCCTAATTCCCAAAATACCGTCATAAAACGGATGCAGATTTTTCCAGAAATTGTGGCTGTGTTGCGGCATTATGCCTAGGCATTGGTGGTTCTGCCTTAAAACTCTTAAATTAATCAAAATTTGTTGTGCCTCGGCATTTATGCTGTGGCACTGAAAAGACAGTGATTTTTTAGCATGATAACGTTCTAATATGGCTAAGTGGTAAACATATGAAATGTAGCTCTTCGAATCAACTTTCTAATGGTTTAAGAATCGTCTCAATTAGAGGTCTACATCTCTAGTTATTGTCGAAATACCGAAGCATGTTCAAACTAGAGTTTATTCCAAGATTTTCTTTTCAACTTCAAAACATCATAACTTCTTCAATTCAGCTCTGATTCACGAACCGTTTGTTCCTCGTTGTCACTTATTCCATCTCCAACGTTATTCTTCATCTGAATATCATCTTTAAGTATTGGTGACCTGAAAACACTAAAAATATACTCGTGATCCCATAAAAGACATTTGTGAAATATCTAGCTCGAGCTCGACACTTTTACATTTGAGCCGAGCTCGAGCCTCCCATTACTCAGCTCAATTATACCCCTAGTCATGAGTACAGTTTTTAGAGACCTTATTGTATGGGAGCTACTTATAAGAAGGACTATTGGGCAAGTGAGTCAACATTTTATCGTATCAATGCCAAGTTACATTAAATTATTGTAGATGTAAGGCTCATAGTTTACATTATACGTATTAAAAATTATGACTTTTGAACCAAACATCTTATACCTTTAAAAATGAATAAATAATATATACAGAAATGTAAAATTCTTTTTAAACACTTAAAGCCCTTTAGAGCAATGTAGGATCCACCCCTTGGCTAATTCCATGCTATGACATAAAAGCAATGTAATTGATTTATATCTTTTTCTTTGATTCCTTATTTTTATTGGTATGTAATGCAGATTAGGTCTTCCGCAACAAATACAAACTGTTGTAACTCAAAAGTTAAAGATTATGTTAAGTGATGAGTTAAATAAAGTATTATTAATTTTCACGAAGTGACTGATCCACCCCACAAAAATAATCTATTTTAGATTGACAAATACTTATCTGACCATTAACGAAAGTATTAATAAAATACCACACTAGTCTTCTGGAGTTAATTAACCAACTCTCTTCAAAGATATTCTTTCTGCAGAATTGATGGGTGATCCACAAATAGTTGTTCAGCGTTTAACACCAAATGCGACTTCAACTCATGAACAGAGGCAACCTTCACGTCATCTCCTTTCTAGTGAGCTCACTCTCTTTCACATGCTCTTTCGCATATTCTTTCAGGGATAATAGTATATTTGTCCTTGAGGTTTGCTGCCAGTAACACGAGTCTGTTAAAATAATAAATATTTCTCTTCCTCTTTCAACTAAGAATGTTTTATTTAAACCTAAGCACAAATCCCATATTCTTGATGCTCTCTCTCATTATAAATTGTTTTCGTCTATTGAATTTACACGTGCAGAAGAAAATTCAAACCTTTATCTCAACAATTGTGTGCCTCTTTATAAGGCTGCATTAAAAGGGGACTGGAAAAGTGCCAAAAAATTGTTAGAAAAAGATCCAACGATGTTGTGTGCCAGTATCACAAAGGGGCACGAAACTGTTATTCATATTGCGGCAGGAGCCAGACAAACTGGCTTTGTAGAGGAGCTGATGAAGTTGATGCAACCGAAAGACCTGACTCTGCCGGACCAAAAAGGAAACACAGCCTTCTGTTGCGCTGCTGCAGCAGGAGCTACTGAAATTGCTAAAGTTATGTTGAAGAAGAATCCCAGTCTTTTGACAATCCGAGGTGGTGAAAAGATGATGCCTATATTTTTGGCTGCTTTGTTAGCACAAGGGGAGATGACATCTTTTTTATACAATGAATTATCTCAAGCAAAACATGTTTTCCAGTGGGAGGACGAAATTGCCCTATTTTTCACTTGTCTCACCAATGGTTTATACGGTAAGACTATATATTACAATTCACTTCTTTTCATTACATTTTTTTTTTTTTTTAAGAAAAAGGTTGTCTAATGTCTGTCTTGTACGTAGTGTATTTAACACTTTATGATAAAAAAAATTCTTATTTGGATGTATATAATTTACAAAAAGATAAAAAATACAAATTTTAATGCATTGGTATACAAAATGTTTTGTCTTCTAACATTCTTAACGTATGCCTATAAACCTTTAAAAAACTAAACTTTATCACAAGTGATATATATGCATTTTTTTATAAAATATTGACATGGAAATATCAAATTGATATGGTAGCTGAGAAATTTTAGAATAAATTGTAATTTATAATAAGATAACATGATTAATGGTATGCATACTAAAACTTATCCTATATTTTATCATAGAAAAGTTAAAAAAGAAAAATTAAAATAGTAAAGAAAAATTTAAAGAAGCTAGCTACATATTAACATGCTTTTAAGTTTTTTTGCTTACAATTAATTTATTGAATTGCTCAGATCTCGCATTTAAAATGCTAAAGGATGATCCAGAATTAGCTGTGGCTCGTGACGAAAATTCTGAGACTGCCTTACATGTTTTGGCCCGAAAACCTTCAATATGTTCCAGCAAAAATCAAGGTCTATTCAGAAGGCTTATCAACTCGTTAATTTCTTCAACACTTAACTTCTTTTATCTGTGATTTTAGTCAACCATAAAATTAATTAGTACAAAATTTATTGCATGCTTTGATTCTTAGTCTCAGGATTAATGAAGTTGAATCACAAGAAGGATTTCGAATCAACTCAAGCTCTTCAATTAGTCAGATGCCTTTGGGATGAAATGTTAAAACAAGATGACTCAGAGCTAGTGAAACTAACACAAACACCTTCACAAATCATTTTTGAGGCAGCAAAATTCGGAAATTCCCAATTTTTGTTTGAGCTCATTTGTCGTTATCCTGATTTGATATATCAATTTGATGAAAATGGTTATAGTATATTTCACATTGCAGTTTTACACCGTCATGCCAATGTATTCAATCTGATATATGAGATAGGTTTAACTAAGGAGTTGTTCATGACTTGTGAAGATAAGGATCAGCAGAACAATATGTTGCATTTGGCTGCAAAATTACCACATCTAAGTCGAATTGGTATCGTACCAGGTGCAGCTCTACAAATGCAGCGAGAATTATTATGGTTTAAGGTAATTCAATTTTCTGAATTCAATTATTGTCCCAATTTCAATTGCCATATTTTGAAATATAACATGTTTGATATCTATAGGAGATCGAAAAAATAGTGCTACCTTCCTTCCGAGAAAAGAAAAACTTAAAAGGCCAAACACCTCAAGAGTTGTTCACTCAAGAGCATTGAGAGTTATTGAAAAGTGGAGAACAATGGATGAAGAATACCGCTAACTCATGTATACTTGTTGCAACAATCATTACCACTATAATTTTTGCATCGGTGTTTATTGTACCAGGTGGTAACGATAGTAGTAAACGATTACCTATTCATCTGAAAGAGACATGGTTTCAGGTTTTTGTCATATTAGATGCAATCGCATTGGCCTCCTCTTCTATCTCAGTCCTAATGTTTTTGTTGATCCTTACATCGCGGTATACAGAAGACAATTTTCTCGAGTCGTTACCATTTAAATTGATGGTTGGACTCTCTACTCTCTTTGTATCTATAATCACCATGATGATAGCTTTTAGCATGACCATTTTATTAGCTTATCATGATAGATTAAATTGTGTCATCATGCTTACTACTATAGTTGTGTCTACACTAGCCACTCTATATGTTCTATTGCAGTATCCTCTTCTTCTAAGAGATGTATTTTGTTCAACATACTATTCTAGGTTTTTGTTTGAGCCAAGTAAATCCCCGTTCTGATTTGCTTGATGTTGAAAGTTTATTGTATTGTATCGTCGGAACCTATTTATATTAATTAAGGTTTTTCGATTCAATTATGTGGTAACTTTTTTCCTTTTAAGCAATTGTTGTTGCAGGCAGTGGTGGTGAAATTGTATTTGAGAGGTTCATTTTCAATTTTTCATGCACAATATGATTATATAACACGTTTAGAATAAAAATCAATCTAAGCCCGATTAAATGAAGCACAAGAAAACGGGCCTGGAAGAAGCTAAGAAAACAGTCTATTATAAAGTAAATGGCCAGCAATGAAATGAGTTCAGGTACCAGTAAAATTTAAATCAGCTGAGCGCCATTATTGATTTGGGGTTAGCCATTGATTGCTACCTTTAAATAAGTGAGTTTGGGTAGGTCTGCTATGGCCAATTCCACAATGGCCAATGATGTGTCAGGTGCCTACTGTAAACATGGCTCAAATTCATATTTAACATTATAACTTACAACAAAAGTCCATGTCTATGTTATTTTTTTCTCTTTAGAGCAATTTATTTATCTTCTGTCTTTGAGAAATCAGTTTGTTGTTCTTAGTGAACATCAATGCTTTAGGTAGGGATGTGCAAAACCAGATATTCGATCCGGTTTTGTATTTTTCTGATCTGATCCAAAAATTCGGATCAGGATGAAACCTGATCCAAATCTGATCCGAATTTCTTCTGATCCAGTTTTGATTCGATCTAAATATTCAGATCGGATAAACTAGATATCCGATTTTATCCAAAATTTCATGGGAAATATCAATTTGCCTCCTAAAATTTTGTATTATTCTTTAGTACCCCCTACCACATAAGCATTTCATTACATTTTGTCCCCCAAAGTTGTCATCGAATTTAGGGGAAGATAAATTAACTTGAAAGATTACTAGGAATGTTATATTAATGTGTTTGGTTGGAAGGAATAAATTGGTGGGTATGTTATGTTTATATGTTTGGTTGGGAGAAATAAATTGGTGGTATATTATGTAAATTACTAAGCTGCCCTCTTTTTTAAGTATTATTATTATTTTGATTATTATTTATAACCCCTTACATTTAAAATTTTAGCTAAAACACCCTCATAATAAAAGTTTAAAAATCAACAAAGACACCCCCAACCACCTAGCCACTGCTGGCCGTTAGCAGCCGACAACCAAACAGCGCACGACTAGTCGGATATGGCTGAACATGCGCCGATACAGCCAAATGCATTTCCGACCAAATCTATTCTGGCCAATAATGGCCTAGTGAGTCAACGATGATGTGGCATCGATGACATGACAAAAGCCAACAATGGCCTAACAAGTCAACGATGGCATGACATCGATGATGTGGCAAAGGCCAACAATGGCCTGGCAAGTCAACAATGACAGGGCATCGATGACGTGGCAAAACTAACAAGGCAAGGCGTATGCGGACGCGTGTGGAGTTGTGGCAAAGGCAGAGGACCGTACTAGCAAAGGTGGGGTACTAGATGATGCAGAGCAGTAAACCAAGATAATAGTAAGTGCTATGCTGATTTGATTTAATATGTAATAAAAAAATTCCCAAGAACTGGAAGGGTCACAAGCAGTCCCACTTAAAACCCATTTTCCTTAGACTATTATCGTCTTGGTGACAGAATTTTCTTAGACATACATATACCATAGAAATAGCAATTCACTATCCTAAACTTTGGCTCTGATACCATGTTAGATTTCTAGAGAGAAAGGCAAAGAACGAAATTGTATTTCAAGTGTATGTTTTCCAATGTACAAGGGCTCTATTTATACTTACAATACATGCTAGAATCATGCTAATGATTTATGCTAATGGCTAAAATCAAGCTTTGCTTGATTCAAGCCATAGATCAAGCTTTGCTTGATTGTGGCTAACAGGCGTAAAATTCTAAGCTTGAGGGATAAGATTAGAATTTATTTTAGAGTCTATTGGTGATGGACAACTTACTTCATTGTGGTATGACTACTGGCATCCATTAGGACCCTTACGTACCTTGGTTCCAGCTAGAAATTTCAACTCTTTAGGTTTGAGCCATGAAGCTACTGTGAGTGATATTCTTTCAGATAGACTGTGGGTATGGCAAGCCCATTTTTAGGACATGTTCCCCTAGGTTATTTCTCAGAAACATGTTTTTCTGGAGAAGTTTAGATGGTAAAAAAGTTCAGTTTTCCACCTTGCAGACCTGGAGAGATCTCTCCTCATTTTTCTAAGGTCTACTGGTGCAATTTGATATGGACGGGTACAAGCATTCCAAGTCACTCTTTCATCCTCTGGCTTGCCATTAAAGGCAAACTCTTAACCTGGGACAAAATGAGAGCTTGGAATCTGAATATTGAGCTGTGTTGTGCCTTTTGCAATGGCTCCTCAGATAGTCACGACCATCTGTTCTTTGAGTGTGTGTTTTCTAATTTTATCTAGATTTCTGTTCAAAGGAAAGGGAATTTCAGGCTCCCACGGGTGACTGGAATAGTATAATTCTCTGGTGTGCAAAGAAGTTCCAAGGGAAAAATATTCATTTAGTCAATAGAAGGCTTCTTTTGAGTGCTACTGTTTTCTTTTGGGTGCTACTGTTTATTTTCTTTGGTAGGAGCAGAACCTCCGTCTATTTAATAGAACGACGAGAGAGCCTGATTGTATCTAGAAGCAAGTTTTTGAAGCTGTTAGACTTTGCCTTTTTAGTCTTCGGTTTAAAGATAATCTTAGAGTCTGAAGAATGTGCAAGCTTGGGATCTTCCTCTCAGTTGTGTTGATAAGGGATTGCCGAGGAGCTGCTAATTTGAAGAAATGCCCTTTGCTTGTCAATGGGCAGGATTTGAATCCAAGGATTTGGGTAGGGCTGGTTAATTTTTTTTTTTTTTGTCTGTATTTTTATGGTTCTGGCTGGAGTTGTCGTTACCCTCAGGTATAGGGCTGGCCCAAGGGATAGGCAGGTGAGGCATCTACCTAGGCTCCCAAAAAACAACAAAGCTATGGGCACCGAAAAATTTGTATAAAAAATATGTACAGGTTTACATGTACACGTGACTCGATTTTTTTATCAATTTTTTTTAGTGAACGGCTGTCCATCAAAAGATGGACGGCCGTTCACTCACATAGACTCCCGTCCATATTATATGGATGGGTGTCCCAATTTAAAGGACGTCCGTCCATAATTAAAATACAATAAAAAAATTTTATAAACATTAGGGACGGCCGTTCATCCATTATCGACGGCCGTCCTTTTATTTTAGACGGGCGTCCTCAAATAAAGGACGTCTGTTCTTAACCAAAATATGAAAATAAAAAAAAAATAAAAATTTTGGGACGGCCGTCACTTACGTTTGAACTAGCGTCCATTAGGAATGGACGCCAGTCACTTACGCTTGGACAGACAGTCCATACTTTTAAAAAAAAAAAAAAAAATTCTAACTTCGTTTTCATTCCCTATCTCCTCTCTTTTTCTTCGTCTTCATTCCCCGTCTCCTCTCTTCAGCACAGAATTTATAGTCATTATGAGTGATGCTCTCTGTAGTTGTTCTCCCGTAACTTCAGATGGTTATCTATCAGCATGGTGGTCTTTCGTATATGGGTTCTTGCTGGATTCCTTTTTATAAAGTATTACTTATCTGAGATGGCTAACTCTATCTTTATTCTTGCATTGGTAGGGGGAAAGGAGCAATGCATAAAAGGCTGGACGCCCTTCGCGAACTAAGGTGTATATTATCAAGATCTGAATTCCCTCCTGTAGAAACTGCTCTTAAAGCAGGAGCAATATCCATCCTTGTGCAGTGTCTTTCATTTGGATCTCCAGATGAACAGGTCTGAAAAATGTTTCCTATTTGTTGGGTTCATTGTTTTATTATTATCAAGTGCATTTCGTCTCAGTTTTCTTATAAATATTTTCTTATAAATTGACGGCACTTGATAAAACTTGTGGATCATTAGTTAATTGACGGCAACTATTTTCTTATAAATTTTCTGATATGCCATGAAAACTGAAAGTTATGCAAAAATTGGTCATCTTTCTTATAAATATTTCACATTGAAAATTCTTTCCGATAGAAAAACACTTCCAACAAAACAAATGGCTTATAGATGCATAACTATTGATATCTTCATAATAATAAAACAATGAACCCAACAAATAGGAAACATTTTTCAGACCTGTTCATCTGGAGATCCAAATGAAAGACACTGCACAAGGATGGATATTGCTCCTGCTTTAAGAGCAGTTTCTAGAGGAGGGAATTCAGATCTTGATAATATACGCCTTAGTTCGCGAAGGGCGTCCACCCTTTTATGCATTGCTCCTTTCCCCCTACGAATGCAAGAATAAAGATAGAGTTAGCCATCTCAGATAAGTAATACTTTATAAAAAGGAATCAAGCAAGAACCCATATATGAAAGACCACCATGCTGATAGATAACCATCTCAAGCTACGGGAGAACAACTAACGAGAGCATCACTCATAGTGACTATAAATT